GGCCGCAGCCCCGGCCCTAGGGCACATGCCGGCACCGGGTGCAAGGGCATCCCAGTCCCCTAGCGTTCTCCCGGACACGCAGCCCCGCCCCCGGGTGCCCGGAGCGTGAGTGGCCCCACCGCTGGGCGCCCGGGAGCCTCTAAACTCAGTGGTCCCCAACCTTAACCTCACTACTGTCCCTCTGGCCCTTTAAAGCACACACACAATACTGTTCAAGATATACAAAGGAAATCTATTCTCTCTCATAGAGTATCAACAACTTTTAAATACTGTAAATAGGACTGCCCTTGAAAGAGCTATATAATTTCAGAGTTTAACTTTGATTGCTTTATTTTTGTTTCATAACAAATGGATGTAATCTCTGTTTAAAAAGCAGTGATGTATGTATGTTTGTTTTTTAACCTACAAACATTTCTCTCATTGCTAATACCTCTCTGCAGTCCAAGTTAAGGTTCTGGCCTCCAACCTCCAGTTTGAGAATTTCAACCTGGTAATACCATTCTTCCTTTATTGGCGTGTACCAGATATCACCCTTGTACAAACTTGGTTCAATTCCACCCATGACCTGAAGAGGGAGGGAGAGAGAATCATAAGTTTGAGAGAGTCATACACATTTGGGGAGGGAGGGTGAGTATACTTGCATAAAACCTAAAACAACCATGATTACACAGGACACAGAAATTTTACTGAGCTCTATTTATGAAGAGCACAACTGTTTCATTATCTATAATGTTTCACCTAGAAGTCAGAGAGCACTTGGTATAGGCAACAAGACCTCATCTTGAAATTCCCAAGTACCAACAACGTTTGCCAACTTCAAATTGATTCCCTTATGGGTGTTCCCTTCTTCAGTTAAAATTAAACAGCATTTTAAATAGTGCTGCCAAAGCTGAATCTAGGCAACCCACAAGAACAGGAATGAGCATTAAGCTCTTCACATTAAAAATTAACTTAAGAGTGCAAAAAAGTTAAATATAGCCTAATAATGCAATTTTTAGATGCACTTAAGAAAAATACAGTATGGCAGTTGAGTCATTGCTACCATTATTAGTTCATGGTAGCATTTTCATTTCTGTTAATTATGAATGCACTAGACCTTCATACTTATGATGCAGAGTCAAAGTACAAATCTTTAAACAATAGCACAGAATCTCTACAGAAAGAAATGCCATGCTTGAATAATAGAAGTATTTTGAGAGCACCCGATCAGGATGCTGATGATGATTATGAAATGCGCAGGGAAATCAGACAGGCTACAAAGGCAAAACAATGCAACTATCTTCATATTGACCCAGTGTGTGTCACCCAAGGATAGCATGTAGAGGTAAAGTTTTTAGACACCATTAATGACTACTTTTTGAAGCAGCTTATACTGAAACCCACAAGAAGAAAAGCAATTCTTTATTTAGTCTGAAGCAGAGTACAAGATCTGGTACATGAAGTGAATGTAGCTGAACTGCGGAGTAACAGTAATTAAATTTAACCTCTCGTAGGGGACAAATGCTAAAGAAACCTACCACAGTGCCATTTAACTTTAAAAAAGGGGTTCTATAAAGAAATAAGGAAGCTAGTTAAATGGAAAATAAAACAATTCCAAGTGTGAATGCTTGAAAACTGCACAGAAACTATAACAATACAAGCTCGAACTCACAAATTAAAACAAAAACAAAGGACCAGAAAATGCAAACAGCTTAACAGCACCACAAAAGAGGCTGTTGGTGGCAAAAAGTCTTCCTTTAAAAAGTAGAAGTCAAATCTTACTGAGGAAAATAGAAAGGTATATATATTTGGTTATGTCAAGTATACAACTACAGGCCAAGAAAGACTCTGAAGAGCAACTAGTTAAAGACAAAAAACTAATTTTTTTTTTTTTTTAAATGCATTTGAAACAGGAAACCTCCCAAACAATCACTGAGGCCACTGGACAACTGAGGTGCTAAAAGAGCAATCAAGAAAGGAAAAGCTGTTGCGGAGAAGCTACGTGAAATCTTTCCTTCAGTCTTCACTGTAGATGAGGAAGGGAAGATCCCTACACAGTTACCCTGGAATTGAGGGGTGAGTACACCCCAGAATGTGATCCAACTAATTGCAGCTATATTATGTGTAGTCAGCCACTATGACCTAATGAAACAGAACACCAAATCATTAAGGTTTAATTTGAAGATAAACTTGACCTTGTCTCTAAAAGCCTAACTGGCAGCTTCTACTTATCAGAGTTTGAGAAGAGGATAAACATGCAAACAATGGATACTGAAAACCTTGGTGGCTGGACAGCCTTGAATCTAGACCAGGGGTGGGCACTTCACAAATTTCTAAAATGATTGTTGGTTGCGCCAGAAGGGTCAGGGCTTCAAGTGTAAAGGGTGAGGCCTGGGGGCTTCCCATGCACCTCTGCCCACAGACCCTGATTGGGGGCTGGGGGAGAGCAAAGTCTTTGCCCCTTCCCCCAGCACCTAGAGAGAACTGCCAACTGTTTTGAACAGCTGGTGATTCCCTCTGGTGCTGCATGCTCCTGGCAGGGGGGGGGGGCTATGGACACTCCCCAATTTCCC